GTGCTGTTGGTCAGACAGATACTAGCTCTGAAAAGCCATTGTGAGTACAATTAAGAAATTAAGAAATTGAGTCATAGATAGAAATTGAGTGATTAAGAAAGGCAACTGGGATAAAGAGGAGCTTATTGAGAAATAGAGATAAATAGTTATTGAGCATTACTTCATCTCCAAAGCTAACCTTGTGCTTAGATAGGGGAAGTCCTGTTCTTTCTAACCATAGCAGCTCAGGGTTAGGGTGAAAGATCCCAGGATTTTTTCTACCATTTGGAGAAAGGTTACCTCAGTAATTGAAGAAAAGGGAAAGAAAGAACATCTCTATGGTTTCCCAAATTGACTGTTTGTGTTGTAACTTTATCAAGCTGTGCCAAGTCTGCCAAGGACTTTGGAAATAAATATTTTGTTGATGTTCATATCTTGACTGGCATCAGTTGCTGAAAGTATTGAGTTATTGCTTCAAAGAAAGACCCCCAGCAGTTCGCCCAGATAAAGAGAGAAGCACATCTTAGTTTTAACGTTATAGCATCTGGGTGTGATGGCACACAGGATCTGATCCCAGGTTTTCTGCTTTAAACTGGATTATGAGTCTACACTGCCAGATAATCTGGGATAAACAGAAAACTTGGGATCAGATCCTGGGATATAGAGTCTGTCTGGAAGGGCCCAAAGAGACAGATTCCTTTACAAAATAAGTCTGTCAATCATTTGTGAGCTTTAAAAAGCCGGTAGATTTGAACACACCTAAAATCTATATTATTGACAATGTAAATATGTTGCTTGCCTCACTTATAATTTAAATTCCAGACCACAAGTTATTTAGTCTTTTCTATTTTGTGATTTTCCTATATTCGTGTAATTTCCATTCTGCAACCAAATTATTTCAACGCAAGGCTTGCTGTGAAACTTCTCACTTATATTATCATCTGATTATTTTTTCCCAAAAAAACTCCTCTAATTACTTGACTGAGAAAAGGAAGCGGTCACTTTGACACAGTTCTTTGTTTCCTAACATGACAGGAAATGGGAACACTGAGATGGGTTCCTGTGCTAAAATAATTGCATGTGTCAAAGAAAAGAATCTGCTAGCAAAAACATCTTTGAAAGCTAGGTTTCAAAACAAATAAGCATGCTTCAGAAATGATTTTTAATGTGGGAAAGTTCTTGTTCTTTCTTGTAAGATTTAAACTGATGTTAATCCACCACCACTGTGCAATTTTCAGGTATATGAAACTGGGTTTGCAGGTATTGAGAGCAATCTAACATGCATTTGACTCAACTTTGGGTCGTAAATTCTGCATTTGTTGCTTGGAACAGAAGCCATCATAGATGGTCTTCAAACTTCAAGTTTAGCACAATAAGAAAGATTGGAATTCTTTTACCCAGGATGAAGGGCACAATTCTGAACCAATTTCTAAACATTGTCATATGGGACAACATCTGGTGATATTTGATAGCAACGAGCCCTCTATGATTGCTCTTTAACTGCCTGTTGTGTATTCTGTTTTATTCTTCAAAGCAATGGAGATGCTTTGTATCATATTAATGGAATATATCTCCTGTTCTACAGATCCATCTGTGTGCACCTCTGGAAAGTATGCCCTGCTTAGTACAACAAATGCAGAATTTACGACCCAATTAAACAGACTTCCCTTGTAATATTTTATGCTTACATCATAGCTGTAGTGTCCCAGCAACATGTGTTGCAACCTCTTAAAGAAATTTCCTTGTGAGTTCTAATGGTATACAAGCTGATTGTACATCTAACCTGCATTCAAAAGTGAACTGATGGAAATGTTCCAGTCCAATAATAGTGGGACCTTGCTGGGTTTGTTACCAGGACACTTCTTCCCCCCTCCCCACACCAAGGATTCCAAAAACCATTAATGCTCAAGTTCCATTACATAGTAAATTGCATTGCAAAACTGCTTTTCCTATATCAAAATTTACTTTATGGATTTTTCAAAAATATATTGTCATGGATGATTAAACAGAATATGTGGCTATGGAGGTTTGACTGTACTGCTGTGCATATATTCTAATCTTGAGGTGCCCTCTAACTCCTGAAGTAGTAGCTGCCTACCAAGTAGACACATTCTCTTTTATTATAGACTAGCTTGGGGACCCAGCAGTGCCTGGGTAATTTGAGAAAGGCAATGTCTCTGCTCCAAGTTTAGTCTAGATCCAATGTCAGCTGGGTTTTGTGGGTATGGGTGAACTCTAACTCTGATATGGAAGTCCCATCATGCATGGTCAATCCTCCTCCAAACCACAATAGGATGTAAAGTGGATTATGGGGTCTCTGTGTACCAAGTTTGGTCTTGATCAGTCATTGGATGAGGGTTGCAGTGGTCTGAAGAGGTGAGTGAAGGTACTACAAATCCCATCATCAAATGTCCATCCTCCCCCAAATCTCGCCAGGATGTAAAGAGCATAATGGGGGTTATGTGTGCCATGTTTGGTCCAAGTCCGTCACCCACTGCTGGTCGCAATGGCCTGTGAAAGTGGGAGCCAATCAGAAAGCTGCCACATACACTGCCCTCCTCCTCTGCGCGTACAAACACTGACTTTTATTATATATATAGATTGACGAGTTTATCATACAAGGCAGGTAAATTATGATTACTGTGGAGCAACAGCATCTTTGTCTATCACATGATGCCACTCCTTTCCTGCTGCAATTGCGATTTGCCTTCCTTATGTGATAAATGCCTCAGCTTTAAACTGCCCTACATCTCCATGTATGGGTCTAGACATTTTAGTGAAAAATCAACACAGAAACTGGGTCAGCTTATCCATGGTTCAAAATGAGTACTATATCTTAATTCTTATAAAAAAGAAACCATCTTCTCTGTATAGAGTTGCAAAAGGTGAGAGAGCTTAGTCTGTCTCAGGAGAACCTAAGAGAAGCACTGACCCTCAATCACATTTATGTTCTTCCACCTAGCTAAAAACATTCCCAGAGCATCTCAAAGCATTCATAGAAAAACAACACACTTTTATCTTATTTACTTACTAACACTTACTTTTATCCACATGGATATAATTCCACTTCCTAAGTACCACAAATGCAGATTATTGAGAAATATATTTTATTTTATTTTATTTATTTAAAACATTTATATTTCGCCCTTCTCACCCCGAAGGGGACTCAGGGCAAAGCATAGCATATATATGGCAAACATTCAATACCGGGACCTGAATTTATTATATGCATACATAAACATTAAAAACATTTGTCTCAATAATAAAATACACTGTTTAAAACCATCTTGATCATCTGTGTGTCTAAACTAATTGGCCTGGTAAGGTTTCCTATTGCTGGTTTATTGCACTGTCCCAAAAGCTTGGTCCCACAGCCAAGTTTTTACCATCCTTCTGATGTATATACGTTTTGAATTACAGGTTGGTACTGTTTTCTTCACAGAACAATTTGCATTGATCTCAGAATGTCAAATTTATTTCCTGCACAGTTTGCTTGTCTAACTCTTCTCCATGAGAAACATGATTGACAATGGAGCTCAATTAGCCTGCCAATAGTGAAAGTAAGTAAACAAGGGAAACCAGCCTGTACACGTGAGGATAGTGATGAAATGGAGGGCTTATATACAAGTACAGT